GGAACTTTACAAATGATATTTCGAGGCGTTTGGACCGAAGTCGATCTAAATTGTTCTCAAGTGGCAGTCAAATGTGGAGGTCTCGAAAGCACAAGATTTGAAACGTTTTATGAAACACCATTAGACTATCAATCACTTGGTAAGTTAATGTTTGTTAATATATAAATAGTGTATGAATGCATTGCGAGTGCGCTGAAACCAAATAGTAATTTTTGAAATTGGTTGGGAGAAAAACAAATAAAAGAGATTGCTCACAGTTTTGATGCCATGTTCTGATCCATGGACCAAATAAGCAACTAGGCAACCCACAAGGACTACCACCATTGGACCCATTGCTGATACCCAAAATAGCTTTGGTTTAATCTTCTTCTGCAATAGTGTCAAAATATATATATCAATTCTTGTGACTTGTGAGGCCACTTGAGAAAGCAGTTGACTAATTTTTACTATCCTAATCCAAACATATTTCAAAATGAATAGTATTAGCATGTGTTAAAAAATAAAAATAATTAAAATTGTTCTCTAGAAATTTGCTTAAAAGTCGAACTCAAATTAAGTGGGTATGTCAAAAAGGGAGGATCCAAATGTGGAAGATCTGAGAGGGCCTAATGATTTTTGTCTCTACTAAGTAACAAGTGGATAAAATGATTTAAATAAATGACATAAAGAGAAGAAGAAATTACTATGTATCGAGTGGATTGGAGGAAAATAAGAAAGCAGACCCCAGCAAGTGCACTTTGCCACTTCAACTGCACCAAGTAACACCCCCCCAGGTTATACAATGTAAATTAATCAGCCATTGTTTTTCTTTCTTCGATCTTCTTTAACGAAAAAGGAAAAAGATTGAAAGAGACAGACCTCAACTCGATTGGTCACGACCGAGTGGATAACCGAAACAACGTCGGTTTTGTGCGTAAAGTGTTCTAAACCAAGCAAACCCTTAAGCTGTTGGAGAAGAATTATGATAGCGGTACCGCCCATGAAGCCCGTTATAGTCGAGTGTGACAAGAAATCCACCAATAATCCCAACCTATACATGCATCAGTGCTTTTTTCTTTAAGTAACTAAAGTTAACTTTCTTGCATAGATACACAAATGCCATTTGATGTCATAGTAGTATTAGTGTTTAGTTTCATAGACCTTCAACTTAAAAACCAATTAGTAATAAATTGACTGACTCATGTTTTTTTTATATAGTAATCTACGTTCCATCTCATTTTCAATGTAAGATTTCTAACAATCAGCTCAACGGTTACAAATATATGATCGATGGAATTATAGTTCGAATGAAAACCTGAGGAACCCTAAGGCGAATTGGAATACACCGGTGATGAATGTGGCGGTGAAGACCAGATGAAGGTAGAGGTCAGGCTTTTCTTTCGACATATTCTCACCGATTGTCTCAGCGATCAGCAGGGAGCATGCTGCAACTGTCCCAACTGCCAGATTGTTTGAACTTCCGAATACAGCGTACACAAATGGCGGCACAAAACTTGAATCTGAATTCCCATCATTTTTTTATAGAAACAGTGGAACTATTAGATATACTCTCTCCATTTCAAAATATAAGATGTTTTAGCTAAAACCGCAGCTATTAAGAAACTACTTTTATTCTAAAAAGTATCATTTATTTTTCTAATAAAATAATTTGACGAATCACACAAAAAACTGCAAAATACTACTGGTCACACAATATTCAATAAAGTTAAAAAATACCTAGATCAAAACATTTTACTTTTTAAAACGGAGGGAATATGTTCAATATTGAAATTATTTGGAACTATTTACTGTCATAGAGTTTAAAAGTAGAAAAAAATAACCTATATAATACGTGTCTATTGTTAAACAAAATCGTAATTTAGACGCCAGTAAAATGGTCAACACTGATTCTTAGGAGGTGTTAAGTACCTTCATTGGAGGGTCTCTCTACGAGTCTCTCACCCAGATTTGTTTTTATGATATATGGAGAGTAAAAGAGGTTTTTGTTGGTAATAAAGTAGCATGACGAAACAGTAGAAAACAAAAATTATATTTAACTTAAATTGGTGAAATTAATGGAAACATATTTTATGTCAATCAAAAGCCAAATAACACCAGTTTTTTGTTGCATAATCAAAACTACACCATTCTTTAAAATCAATATGGAATACATAACTTGACCATTTTAAAAACTACATATATATCCAGCTTTTATATTTTTAAACGATGTTCATCGATCGGATGCAGTGATCAATATAATTAAAATTTTATATTTTCGCATGATAATAATAAATGAAAGGAACTCACATAGGCCTATGATGGGAGGGATATTGGCGAGCTTCGCATAGCTGATACCTTGTGGAACCGCGAGACTGGTAATGGTGATACCGGCAAGCACATCGTACCTTAGTTTTTGAAGGTTGTACTTTGGAAGCCACTCAAAGATTGGCACAAAATACTCCAATAGTTTTTTTGTTTTCATCAAACCGTTTGGCTCTTGCGATATTGGTTTGAATGGATCGTCTGAGAAGAAGGTTTCTTTACATTTTGATCTAAATTTAACGAAAAAGCTTCTCGGGGCCGAGAAATTTACTCCTCGGCCCTTAGGAGTAGAGGAGGAGTTTGTTCTAGCAGCCTCCATATTCAAAGAAAACAATTCAAGGAATTTACTACAAGAATCAAGATGTGATCTTGTTCTTGTCTTTTGGCTTCTGTGTAGAGATTTGGAGAGTGTGGGGTTGTTTATATATAGATGGATGGCCGAAGAAAGTGGGACATGATCGCGATTTATTCCACGTAATGATTAGATTTAGATGGGGTGTATACCCTGGTCTTTGTCCTTTTCATTGGGTAATAAAAACTTATGGTCTTATCTAGACAGCACTTGATTCGGTATATACATGGTGCCAGTAAGTATTTAAGTTTTTTTTTTCCAATCAAAATATTAATTAGAAAATGTCACCGTAATTGGTAATCCAATTACAGTAAGTATTTAAGTTGAACTCACCTTTTTTAGCTGTTTAGAAATATGACCATTTTCAACATATGTTTTTAAAAAATTATATGTATTTATCTTTGTTGTTTATGAATATCTATATAATGAAAAGAGAAAGTGAATAAAGGGAAAGTTGAACAAAATTTCCCCCAAAATTATATTTTCATTTAAAGTCTATTAGTTTTTTACCAAAAAAATAAAAAATATATTATTATTAAATTAAATTTGAAAAGTATGGAAGTCGGTGATCAAAATTTATTAGTATTTTTTGAATCACATTCTAAAATATATTAGTATTTTTTTTACTAA